TCCAGGATCATGACCTGAGCCGAAGGCAGTCGCTTAACCAACTGAGCCACCCAGGCGCCCCATGTGGTTCCCCATTTTATTGAGGAAACCGAGACTCAGAATGATGAAGTGTCCTGTCCAAGGACAAATGCTGAGTAGTGATAGAGCTAGAATTTTGAACCAGGTCTGAGAGTCTTAACCATGCCTCTGTGCTGCGCTAGCTCTGTTCTGGCCGGATGGTTCACACTGAGTGTAACGAATAAACAGAGTACCACAACTTACACAACCAAATGAAGTCTGCTGTTCCTGCTCATTTTTGAAATTCTTTTGAGATTATGTGCACATAGTTTCCATGCATATAAGAAAATCTTCTGCAATAACTAATAGTTCTCTTCACCATAAGCTGTATTATTTACCTTAATTATTTTATTAATCAGGTTTAACAATGAAAGAGTTTAGGATATTTGTAGAAATCAAATCTACCCTCCAGAGACAAAGATTTATCCCCATTGATGGGGGTGCCTGGGTGGCTCAGTCGTTGGGCGTCTGCCTTCAGCTCAGGTCATGATCCCAGGGTCCTGGGATCGAGCCCCGCATCGGGCTTCCTGCTCTGCGGGAGGCCTGCTTCTCCCTCTCCCACTCCCCCTGCTTGTGTTCCCTCTCTTGCTGTGTCTTTCTCTGTCAAATAAATTTTTAAAATCTTAAAAAAAAAAAAAAAGATTTATCCCCATTGAAAGTACTAAAAAAAAAAACCAGACAATTTTTTTTTTTTTTTTTTTTTAAACCAGACCATTTTAAAAGACCCCCAGACTGGTAATTGCACATTGTTACAACTAGGATATAGTTATAGGCTTAATGTGACTATTTTGGAAGGAATAGCATCTTTTTAGGGGTATAAATTCTGATCAGTTGTCAAGTCAATCATATTATTTTAACAGTCAGCCAACATAGATTTAATCATATTGAGCATTTCTGAAATGTGACAAGAAAAGACAGTTAACTATTTTTTTAAATGTTAACATTTAAAAAACTGGCTTAATGTTTACAAAATATTTCATTAATGTTTACATATCAGGTTTTAAAACTTAAGAGTCAGTAGTTATGTCAAGTACACCTGTTTTTAATAAAATGATTTAAAAATTGAAAATAAATTTTAGTTAAACGTTGAGACTGTCTCAGGAAGAAATGGGCTTTTTGTCATCGAGAGCTGGGGAGGGACACTTACAGCCTGAGCCGGCGTGATCTCGGCAGCCAGCCGTGTGCAGGTGATACGCTGTGTGGGCCAGACAGAAGTGAATCATGGGGACGCTGGTCCTTGAGCACCTGGAGCAGGGCACGGAGGATCCAGAGCAGCCCTGTTAGAGCTCCCAAACTACTTCTCCCCCCATTTGTCCTCAGCTTGTCCCGCTTCCCAGTGCAAGTACTCTGGTACCCTGCAGTGATCCAGAGGAAGTACTTTTCCTTGGAGAGGGACAGATCCTTGTTCTTCTAAAGCCACCCTGGGCTATGATGGACGCTCACTGTAACTTAATTCTTCTGTGGTTTTGAAGGTTGTAGCTCAAGTTGGCTGTGTTCACGGGGAATTAATAAAACCAAGCTGGATATTTGAGATGGGTTGAATGTGACAAGGGAGAAAACTTCCTTTAGCTGAGAGATCAGCTTCCCCCAGCCCCTTTCCCAGCCTTTCCCCTGGGGAGGACCTGGAAACCTGAGTGCATCCCCAAGGTTGGGGAAGGGCTCCAAGCTCTTTGTTCTGTCCTTCCCTGAACGGCAGGCAGCTCCCTTGGGGACCCATACCTCCTGTTCTTAGCTTTATTGTTCTTGCGGCTCACAGCACAGTCTCGGGGCGGGGGTGGGGCGGGGGAGAGCGGTGCCTGAAGCTTGAGGTGGGCGGGGCTGGAGCTGCTCTGCTGCTGGCCGGTTACCCTGGTTTCCATGTGGGCCTAGAGTACCCTTGGGGATGTTGTATTCACCACCACCCCATAATACCACAGGCACTTCCTATGGGAATTGGGGGATAGGGATGGGAGGAGTGGGAATGAGCCTCAAGTGAACCCCAGTATCATCCTTAGGCTGATAATTGAAAGGTAGGACATTTAAATCATTCTTACGAATTAACTCTTTTTTTGTTTTGTTTTTTTTATTTCCATGTGGAGCATTACTGACCCTTCTGTCCTTTATTTCTTAGCAACAATTAGCATCCCTCTGATCCCTACCACTATGCTTTGTTGGGGAAAACCTCAGATGTTTGTTTGTTTGTTTGTTTATTTATTTATTTTTAAAGATTTTATTTATTTATTTGACAGAGACACAGTGAGAGAGGGAAAACAAGCAGGGGGTGTGGGAGAGGGAGAAGCAGGCTTCCCGCGGAGCAGGGAGCCCGATGCGGGGCTCGATCCCAGGACCCTGGGATCATGACCTGAGCCGCTTAACGACTGAGCCACCCAGGCGCCCCTCAAATGTTTGTTGAATAAATGTTTCTTATTTCCATTCTCACTGACTACTTAAATTGAGGCACTCATGACTTTGTAACTGGACTTCCTGTCTTGTTTTGCCCCTTCCAGTTAATCCCCTAGCATTACCATCATCAGTATTGTCACTTTCCTCACAAATAACAGCTAGCATTTATTTTTACACTGTGCTAGGCAATATGCTAAGCACTTTGCCATTAATCAGAATTAATCCTCAAAGTAACTGAATTGGTGGTCATTGTCTCTATTTTACAGATGAGGAGACTGAAGACACATAATTAAGTGATTTGGTTAAGTTGGTAAAACCGAATAAAGGTTTTAAGTACCCATGTCTTATTTTTCTAAAACATTGTTTTTATAGAACCCTGTTGTCACTCCATTGCTCAGAAAGCTTCAGAGGTTCTCATTACCTAAGGGGTTAACAGTCAAATTCCTCAGCTCCTCAGCTAGGAGGGCTCATTTCTATTCTGCACAGCTCCGTGTATCTCCCATTTTTCTTCTTGACGAGAGAGCCTAGGATTCAGGAAACTGAGATGCTAACCCTGGTTCTTTCACTCCCTAGCTTTGTCCAATGAGCATAGAATCTGAGCAGAAGTGAGGTGGTCACCCTAGCAGTTGGATCTGAACACTATTGGGCTACAAATAAATGGTCCTGACACACAGATCTTCCGAGCATTGGCAAGTCTTAGAAGTGCACAGCGAGGGGCACCTGGGTGGCTCGGTCGTTAAGCATCTGCCTTCGGCTCAGGTCATGATCCCAGGGTCCTGGGATCGAGCCCCGCATCAGGCTCCCTGCTCCGCGGGAAGCCTGCTTCTCCCTCTCCCACTCCCCCTGCTTGTGTTCCCTCTCTCACTGTGTCTCGCTCTGTCAAATAAATAAAATCTTTAAAAAAAATAAAACTTTATAATAACAAAACTGTTTTTTGATGGTTCATAGGCAATGTTTATCAAAAAAATAGAACTGAGTGATTTGACTTTGAGGGATGGAAAGGTTCATTGTGTCAGGGAGCAAGAATTCCTGTCCTCTCAGGTCTTTCTAGCTTAGGGACTAAGAATCAAATTGACATGAGAGAGATAAAGAGGAGAAAATCAAATTTAATAGAGTACATACGGGGATTCCACACAGACATGGAAATTCCAAAGACAGGCAAAATGAGGCATATTATGTCATTCTGAACTAAGGCGAAGAGAGTGGAGGTCTGGGATTTCAGAGGAAAGGAATGCATCTCACAGGGCAGCAAGAAGAGCAGATATTTGGTAATTAGATGTTTGCCCTGCCATACAGGTGGGTCCCTCAGATAAAATTTATCTCTGCTAATAACCCTTATTCTGGGAAAGACCCCCAATTTAGATTCTTCTATGTAACTAAGGGAGGGACAAAAGTTTCTCTTGAGCCTGCAGGGTCTCAGATGCCTTCCACTCAAAGTAATCTGCATGCCAAAGTGGCACATTCTGAACCCCTTCAGCTGACTCCCAGCACAATGAATGAAAAAGACCCCCACGAAGATACAACACTAAGCCATTTCAGAGCACTGGGGATAAAGAGGACATCCCACAAATCAGCCAAAGAGAAAAAAGTCATGTAAAAAAGGAACAAGAGTCAGAATGGCGTTAGACTTTCAACAGCAGTGTTGGATGCTAGGAAACAATGAAGAAATGCATTCCTAATTTTATTCTTCTTATTATTATTTTTAAAGATTTTATTTATTTATTTGACAGAGAGAGACACAGTGAGAGAGAGAGCACAAGCAGGGGGAGTGGGAGAGGGAGAAGCAGGCTTCCCACCACAGAGCAGAGAGCCCAATGCGGGGCTCGATCCCAGGACCCTGGGATCATGACCTGAGCCGAAGGCAGGTCTGTTAACTGTTAACTGTTAACAGTTAACTGACTGAGCCACCCAGACGTCCCCAGACTACTGTTCGGAAGGGCAGGTTGTTGGGGAGTCCTATTATTTGGTAGTTGATAATGTCATTGTATCAGTTAACTGTGACCACAGTAGTGCAAACCTCGGCAGCATACAATAATAAACGTTAATTTTTGCTCATGAGTCGAGGGTCAGCTTGTGGGTTTGTTGATATAAGCCCGGCTCAGCTGATCTCGCTGGGGCTTGCCTGTGTGTCCGAGCGTGTCATCTGTGGTTTGGCTGGTGCAGGATGGCCCCCGCCGCATAGCTGGTGTGGTTGGCTGTCCATCAGTGGGAGTACAGTCTCTCTCCCAGGCGGTCTGTCATCCTCCAGCAGGCTGGCCCTGGCTTGTTTTCATGGCAGAGGCCGGACTCCAGAAGAGTGTGGAAGTGTGCAAAGCCTCAAAGGCCTGGCTCAGAACCGCACACTGTCACGTCTGCTACATTGTTTTGTCCAAAGCAAGTCACAAAGAGGGGGAAGGAGATCCCATCCCTGTACAGCAAGAGCTGCAAATGCACCCTGAAAAGGAAGGGTGGAGGATGGGGCTGTCTTTGTCACTGAAGCCACAGGCTTTTGTCCATCCACTTGGAAGGTGAAAGGACATCTAAAGACCTAGAACTGAACTTGTTGCCTTTGTCCTTTGCAGACCACAAGCAAAGTGTCAGAGTTTTCCATTCAGATCAACAACTTCAAATTCTTAGCATGGAACATTCAGAGAAGACCGAAGTGGTTCTCCTTGCTTGTGGTTCCTTTAATCCTATCACCAACATGCATCTCCGGCTATTTGAGCTGGCTAGGGACTACATGAATGAAACAGGTAGGAACAGTAGCCAGGACACTACCCCAAAATATGGCACTGTGGCTTGTTGGGTATTTTAAGCTGAAGGAGTTTGAAGAAATTGCAGAATCAGGAAGGTCCCTCTGACCTCCTCCGAACCGTTCTCCCCTGAAGCAGCTCATAAAATCTTGATGTGAGAAGTGCCCTCCGTATACTGGGAGGAAAGGAGCATCCTTATTGCTAAAGACAGATGGATGCCTGGAAGAATCTAAACTAATGGGCCTTGCCACATTTCCCTGAGTTTACTACACTTACCTTGTACTCTTTGCCCTATCATATTTCTCGACGACTGTCCACTCTTCACTAAACCTGGCATAAAAATACTCAGGTTTAACTGTTTCTTGGGGTCTTCATTTCCTTATGAAGACACCTGCGTCACATAAACCTTCTATTAAATAAGTTTCTACATTTTTCTTCTGTTTTTCTGTTTTTGTCAGTTTAATTTTCAGACCCAGCCAGGGACCCAAGGAGGGTTGAGGAAAACTATTACCTCCCCTACACAATATGTTTTGTTACATAAATGATCATGCATATGCTGCTAGATAGATGGATGGTTGCTCAGACTCACTAATAATCCTAATAATCAGGGAACTAAGATAAAAAAATGAGGTCTATTTTGCCCATCACATCGACAAAAATGTTTAAATTTGATAGTGTCAAGTATCAGAGGTTGGGCAGAAATGGGTTCTTACATACACTGTAGGTGGACGTACACATTGATGAAGGCTTTTTATAAGGCAATTTGGCAATATCAAAACTTACACTGTGTAGGGGGTTGGGGAGTTAGTGTTTCATGGGGACAGAGTTTCAGTTGGAGAAGATGAGAAAGTTCTGGAGACGGATGGTGGGAGACGGATGGTGGTGAGGACGGCGCAACAGTGTGAATGTGCTTGATGCACTGAACCGTGCACTTAAAATGGTGAATTTTATGTTCTATTTCACCTTGTTTGTAAATGAATGTATGAATGAACCTGAATCCCTGTTTTGAAAAGGGGGGGTCTGTTATAAAACCATATTGATGATAATATTTCCTGTGCATAAAATCTAACTTGTTACACCTCACATCAAATCTGACTCTTTATCCAGGAAAATACAGAGTTATCAAAGGCATAATCTCTCCTGTTGGCGATGCATATAAGAAGAAAGGACTCATCTCTGCCCGCCACCGAGTTATCATGGCAGAACTCGCCACCAAGAATTCAGAATGGGTGGAAGTTGACACCTGGGAAAGTCTTCAGAAGGAATGGGTAGAGACCGTTAAGGTGCTAAGGTATTTATGGTGAAATCAGCTTTGTCAGTTCTTCGGAAATGGGTTAGGGGCTTTTTGCCATGTTCCAGTGCTGCCTGTGTCTGTGAAATACAGATTTGCGAACTGTGACTCGGGTCGGGAGGGCTTCCCACGTCCGGTGATTTCTTGGGTGTAGAGCACAGCTACAGAGCACGGGGCTTCCTTAGCCTTTATGCCTTTCATCATGTTTTGAGCTGTTTGCATGCTTGTTACTGTATCTCTACGAGAGAGAATACATAGAGAAGCCTGCCCCAGACAAGAAAGGCACAGTTGTAAGATGTTGTCGTTAATTTTTTCTTTTTTTTTTTTTAAAGACTTTATTTATTATTTGACAGCGAGAGAGCACAAGCAGGGGGAACAGTAGAGGGAGAGGGAGAAGCAAGCTCCCCACCGAGCAGGGAGCCCGATGTGGGGCTCGATCCCAGTACCCTGGGATCATGACCTGAGCCGAAGGCAGACATGTAACCATCTGAGCCACCCAGGTGCCCCTTGTTGTTAATCTTATAAGATTTTTTTTTTTAAGATTTTTTATCTATTTATTTGACAGAGAGAGACATAGCGAGAGAGGGAACATAAGCAGGGGGAGTGGGAGAGGGAGAAGCAGGCTTCCCGTGGAGCAGGGAGCCCAATGTGGGGCTTGATCCCAGGACCCTGGGATCATGACCTAGGCTGAAGGCAGACGCTTAACAACTGAGCCACCCAGGCGCCCCCCTTTTTTTAATAAGATTTTTTTAAAATTAATTAATTAATTATTTATTTGACAGAGACACAGTGAGAGAGGGAACATAAGCAGGGGGAGTGGGAGAGGGAGAAGCAGGCTTCCCACGGAGCAGGGAGCGCGCCCTTGTCATTAATCTTTTAAGTAGAAAAGAGAGAGGCAGGTAATTTTTTTTTTTAAAGATTTTATTTATTTATTAGAGAGCGAGCGAGAGAGAAACAGCATGAGAGGGGAGAGGGTCAGAGGGAGAAGCAGGCTCCCCACTGAGCTGGGAGCCCAATGTGGGACTCGATCCCAGGACGCTGGGATCATGACCCGAGCCAAAGGCAGTCGCTTAACCAACTGAGCCACCCAGGCGCCCGAGAGGCAGGTAATTTGAAGCAAGAGAAGCAGTGGTACTTGGTCATGGACGGCCCTGATTTTACATGCTGCTTCCGTGACCACATATGGGGGTTGTCCCAGATCTCTGTTCTGTCACCTTTGAAACAGTTCCGGGTGAGGATTCAGAAACTAGAGGGAGTGACATCTAATTATTACTTAATATTATCTTGAGTATCAGAGAACTTTCTGAAAAACCTTCATGTCTAATGTCTGTTCTTAGAGTTCTGATTCCTTTGGTTCTAAACATATCAGTTAGGGTTTCAACAGGAAATAGAGACCACTCTGAAGTGTTTTTTGTTTTTGCTTTTTTATTTTTTTTTAAGGTTTTATTTATTTATTTATTTGAGAGAGCGAGAATGAGAGAGAGAGAGAGAGCACATGAGAGGGGGGAGGGTCAGAGGGAGAAGCAGACTCCCCGCTGAGCAGGGAGCCCGATGCGGGACTCGATCCAGGGACTCCAGGATCATGACCTGAGCCGAAGGCAGTCGCTTTTTGTTTTTTGCACCCTGTTTTTGCTTGTTTAAAGGTTTTATTTATTTGTTTATTTGAGAGAGAGAGAGTATGAGTTGGGGGAGGAGCAGAGGGAGAGAGAGAACCCTCAGGCAGACTCCATGCTGAGCGTGGAGCCAGCTGTGGGGCTCGATCCCCCCAACCCTGAGATCACAACCTGAGCCAGAATCAGGAGTTGGGCGCTCAACTGACTGAGCCAGGCGCCCCAAAAGCAGAAAGGGATTCAGGTGCTCGTGCGGAAGTGTCAAGGGGTGGCAGCAGGAAAGTCAGGTCTGTTCCAAGGTCATACCTCCTTAGCTGCAGTCAGCGTTCAGGAAGCTGTTCCTGCCTCTGCCACCACAAATACGGCTGTTCACCTGTCTCAGTCTCCTAAAGTTGGTGACTGGACAGTGGAGTATGGAGTCCGGCCACCACGCTCATGCCCTAAGAGATGCTTCTCAGGCTCCACAGCCCAGAAAGATGGCCTCTGCCTCCCTTCTTCCTTCCGAGTCTCTCGTGAGTGAATCTCATCAGCAGAATCTCTGTCACATCGAGAACATGCCGCAGGGACCTCTGGGAAGTGTGTTTAGGGCAGGATTGGATACTGAGCCAGCAGACCATATGCAGCACAGCAACTTAAGAAGAGGAGTGACTTTTCGGGCTCGGCAGGAAAGAGTCTGCCCTCTTTGTTGCCCAGCAGTTCTCCCGTCAGACGGCAGGCTTCTGCATGCCCACCTGGCCCAGCCTTCCCTCTCTGGCTCCACAGCGGTCGCACTGTCCGTTCCGTATTAACTCAGCTGCTCAAAAGGGAAAGGAGTTAGGGGCACAGAGGACCCACAGTGGGCTCCCCCAACTGTAGCTCATGTTTCCTGGGTAACTTCACAGTGGTAAAGTGGTGGGCATCCTGCTGCCAATCAAGAAGAAAGCTACACACGAGTACTGCCTGTGGTCCCTTCCTTTTAGGCCTCAGGCACTTGTCCCCTCTACGACCTTGTCCTTGGCCTTGTGGCTCTCCTTTACTAGGTCAAGCCACACTCTTCAGTGGTCAAGAGTATTGGCTCTGGAACCAGACTGCTGGGGTTCAAATACTAGCTCTGCTACTTATAAGCTAAATGGCCTTGGGCAGGGGCGCCTGGGTGGCTTAGTCGGTTGAGCATCTGACTCTTGATCTCGGCTCAGCTCTTGATCTCACAGTCATGAGTTCAAGCCCCACATTGGGCTCCGTGTTTGGTGTGGGGCCTACTTAAAAAAAAATGGCCTTGGGCAAATTAGTCTCCTGTCTCGATGGGGAGAACAATTCTGATATGATAGTGGGAATAAAAGAGTTGCTTTATAATAACCAAAACATTCACTCAATCAGATTGTTATTGAATGCCTCCTGTGTCCCGAGGAGTCTACCAAGAGCTGGAGTCACAGCTCCAAGCCTTCACTTCCCTCCACTATGGGAATAATAATAACAATAATAATACTCATGGCACGGGATATTGAAAAGATTTAATCAAATGATCCATGCAAAGGACTTAGTGTAGTGCTTAGCACATAATAAATAACTAATATTCACTCTTGTTATTATGACACACACATAAAGCTTCGAACAGTAATAGCCACCATCTGTTGTGCTCCCAGGATCTCCTTGCTTTCTGTTCCTGATAGCCAGTCCCCAGCACTACTGGCCAGCATCCATGCTGACTGGTCAGGCATCAGGGGTTCTTGTGGTTAAATGTTTTTAATATCACACAGCCTTAACTTTGGTCAGAGGCTCTCGGGCATCTCCAGAGAGACAGTATTTTATTTTATTTTATTTTATTTTTTTAAAGATTTTATTTATTTATTTGACAGAGAGAGACACAGCGAGAGAGGGAACACAAGCAGGGGGAGTGGGAGAGGGAGAAGCAGGCTCCCCGCAGAGCAGGGAGCCCGATGCGGGACTCGATCCCAGGACCCTGGGATCATGACCTGAGCTGAAGGCAGTCGCTTAACCAACTGAGCCACCCAGGCGCCCGAGAGACAGTATTTTAATTGAATGTTGTGAGAAGAGAAATGCGCTATTGCTTTGTTGTCTTATAGACACCATCAGGAGAAACTGGAGGCTGGGAGCTGTGACCACCAGCAGGACTCACCTACACCAGGAAGGCCTGGACAGAAAAGGAAGTGGGTGGAACAAAGACAAGATTTTAGTCAAAAGAAATTGCTAGAGCCAAAACCAAAAGGTCTGTATGTTTCATCAAGACTTACCAACTAAAGTAGATAAAATTCTAGAGCTGAACAAGCCCCTTTGTATTTTCATTTCATATTCAGTATGTGTGAGTGCCTGGAAAATACCCCTTGTTAGTTTTATGAAGGGAGGGAGGGAAGGAAAGGAAAAGGCATCTTGAGCTTATTTCTCCTACAGTGGTCCTTAACTTTTGTGGTATCCTAGATCTCTTTTGAGAATCTGATTCTGATCAAAACTATGAACCCTCTAGCCAGAAAAACACATTGTTGTGTTCATTTTGATGCAGGGAATTATTAGCAAAGCAGACCCTGAAGCTGTGTTTTCTTCTTCTTCCCAGTTGTGCCAGAGGTAAAGCTGCTGTGTGGGGCAGATTTATTGGAGTCCTTTGCTGTTCCCAATCTGTGGAAGAGTGAGGATATTACCCAAATTGTGGGAGACTATGGGCTCATATGTATTACTCGGGCTGGAAATGATGCTCAGAAATTCATCTATGAATCTGATGCACTGTGGAAACACCGGAACAACATTCACCTGGTAAATGAATGGATCACCAATGACATCTCATCCACAAAGATCCGGCGAGCCCTCAGAAGGGGCCAGAGCATTCGCTACTTGGTACCAGACCTTGTCCAAGAATATATCGAAAAGCATGATCTGTATAGCTATGAGAGTGAGGAGAAGAATGTCGGGGTCATCCTGGCTCCTTTGCAGAGGAAAGTTGCGGACGCTAACTCATAAATCCTACAGAATGATATTTTGGATTTCCAGTTTGGGAATTTGAAACAGTCTGGGTGTTAGTAACTGGGAAGAGAAATTGTGATTCTGTTTCATAAACTAAAGCTTCTTAAAAGTTTGGTAAAAATCAGAAGTAGATTAAAATCAGGTTTATCATTTTATTGGAAATTGCTAAGATGAATGTTTTCAATATGGTCTTTTTTCTTTTTTTTCTTTTTTAAAGAATGTACAAATCCTTGAATCTTTAAAATGGGATTAACGGCACTAAAATCAGAAGACATTCAGTTTAACTACAAATAAGAAGTCAAAAAGGACATTTTGGTTTTATCACATAAGAGGAACAAAGTGGGAAAAACAAGAGTCCATTTAAAATGCTAACTTTAGGGGTGCCTGGGTGGCTCAGTTGGTTAAGCATCCAACTCTTGGCTTCGGCTCAGGTTGCGATCTCGCAGTCATGGGATTGAGCCCCGTATCAGGCTCTGCATTCAGCGTGGAGTCGGCTTCAGATTCTCTCTCCCTCTCCCTTCCTGCTCACTCTCTTTCTCAAGTAAATAAATAAATAAAATCTTAAAAAAGAAACTATTTAATATCCTAACTTTAGTTATAAAGGGAATTAACATTTTGTGCATGCCTGTTTCTAGGCATTCTTCACCAGGGGTGGCCAAGGAAATAATTCTTAAAATAGTGATCTTATAAAATGCACCACTGATCAGTCATCTTCAGCTGTAAACTTGACGCTAACGGTTCAGTCTCTCTGGCACACATCCGAAGTTGGCCAGTTACGTTTTGCCAAGACACATCTGCCTGGAGCTCCACCTTTGGCCTCAAATGTTCAGAGAGGTGCACCAGTGTTCCTACTGCCCACAGCCGAGGTAGAGAGGTAGTGTGGGTGTTAGTAACTGGGGAAAGGAATTGTGAGCCTGTTTCATAAACTAAAGCTTAGAAGTTTGGTAAAAACTAATAGTAAATTAAAATCAGGTTACACGTTATGCATGTTCTCTCAGCACAGCCTCTGGTGGCTCTGGCCATCTGCCATCTCGCTGTCTTCAGGAATAACTTCAGAGATGACGTCACACTACCTGGAACAGAGAGAACCACAGAGAATGAGGGAACTTATTCAAAGATTTTATTAAATATCAGTGCTCTTAGCCTTTTTTTTTTTTTTTCCTCTTAGCCTTTCTTAATAGCTTAATAAACCAAAGATGAACGGAGATCCTACGAACATGGGAAATGCCGCAAGGATGAGCTCAGCAGTTCCTCCCGCTCAGAATTTTGGGCACTGACAAATGGCTGGTTGGAAGAATGCTCCATGATCTCAGTCTAAAACTCTCTTGAGTTTCTGAAGAGCCTTGCTGCTTCTGTTCCAGCCTGCTGTGAATCTGCCATTTGGGAATTTAAGCAGAAAAAGGGTCTACGTTCTTACCCTTTTCCCCTTGTCCTTTTATATGCACTTTAACCAAGTAGAACTCCCAAATAATAATTGAGGTCATAGCTTTTTTTTATGTTACAAACACAGGCTTGTTATACAGTTGGATGCTGATTACAATTTTGTGGAGGTTTTACCAACTGGTAAAGCAGTAAGACTAGAAATAGCTTTTTATAAAGTAGTTTCATGATTCAGGAAAATCATCCTGTGATAAAAACAGGACTAAAGTTAAATTTCTCATGACAGTACAATAATTTACTTTTTTGCAATTTATATTTCATACCTACACCATTCTAGATGAAGGGCTTATGACTCTGCGGAAGGAAAAAATACTTAAAACTATGCAGTTGTCCAGTCAAATCTGAATACACAGTCTGCAAAGGGACAATGTGAAAGCCAGCCAATGTACATTCTGCAGCTACTGACTTACTCTTACTGAAGCCAGCAGGCCAACCTGACAAAGACCGGGAGGGGTGAAGAGCCTGCCGCCAGTAGGCTTCAGTCTCTGCTGACGGAGTGACAGGTTAGAGTCTCGGATCGTAGAGATGAGGGTCATTTCTCCCCCTCCTTAGCTTTTTGGAGTTGAGAGTTGAAGCGGTCCTGAAAAAGAACCGTCTAGAAGCAGATGAAGCTACTGAAGTGTGTAACTTTGATTTCTTCTGGAAGACTGCACTTCGCTCATCTGATGTGTGTACGGACTGCAGAATGCTGGAAATGCTAGAAACTTCTTTTATTTTGTAGAAACTTCTCATACCATGGTGCCTTCCTACTTAGAAGTGCCCAACCATGCTCAGCTATGAGTATATTGACCTCAGGACCCACTGGGTAAAGCCTTTGAGGACCTCCCAGGAGATGTGGTAATAGTGAAATGATCCTGTTGTTGCGCTATTTATGGATCAATACCTTTGTACATGGAACAAGCTGCTTTTAGCTTTGTCCTAGTACCAAGGATGCTGCTAATGCCACAGCATAATGACATAGTTTTGGGTGACCCCAAGGGCAGAATTTCCTGTTTTGCTAATGGAAATTAGAACAATGAATTTCACAGGGGAATAAATATTAATAATTGTGACTTCCATTGAGGAAGAGGAAAATATGCCACTATTTCCTATTACGGCTTTCTCATAATCTGCTTTTGTAATGTGAATTTTGAGTTTAGCAAGTGTGTAAAGCTGGTGTTTTGTGTGTTTGATGCGGGTGTTTTTTATGTGTTGTACTCCTTTACCCCTTACGCTGTGTAATTTGCGTGCAGCCAATCAACAAAGTCCTTTACTGGCAGCTTAATTCAGTTGAATGTACAACATCTGGAGAATTTTTTGTTGTTTACCTGTTTAGGGGACAAGTGTGAACAGTAAACCATTTAGATAAAGAGGACTGGGTTCTCCTTGGTGATCAGGGTAGAGAGATTGAGCCAGAGGCATGATTTAGGCCCATCCTGCATCAAAGGATGCTCGCTCTTTTTCTGCCATCTGGAGGGCCTCCCCTCAGCGTGGAGGGAAGCCGTCAAGGGTCAGCATGCATGGTAGTGGCAGGCTATTTTTCTTACCCAGCCTCTGATTCACTTCTGTCAGCCCAGAAGTCACCATGGGCTGTGGTGAAATGGGCTCCTTTAGCATTGACTTCTGGGTGCCACAGGACATCCCTTCCCCTGCCATCCTCATACCTGTTCCCACAGGCCTCATGATCTAGAACGTTCGTCACAGCATCCACCCACCTGTGAGGCCGTACAGTGTCTCTGAAATGTGTACCTAGCTTCCCGGTGGTGCTGTCTGAACTTCAGGATGCCAACACTGAGCACCTACGGTGTGCTGGGCGGGAGTGAGTTGGAAAGAAACGAGGCACAATCAGGTGACTGGTATAAATGACGCACCCGAGGCTTGAATGAGCAGTTTGTCTTCAGAGCCTGGGCTCTTAACCTCTTTATGCCTCATGTAACATAACACTCTTCAAAGAATGAAGTTTTAGCCAAATCTTGGCGTTTTCATCCACCCCAAGTGGACGGCTACAAATAACACTTGCAACATACGATAGTCTGACGGTGACGTGTGATGTGTTCTGTCCGCACGGAAGGACCAAGTGGAGCCTGCCCGGTGTTGGCAGTTCCTTGGAATAAGGGCAGTGAACGCCCAGAGCGGGGGGTGGTAGGAGCCCTAGTTTACTCCTCATCAGCAGAGGCAGGAAGAAGGGCACCCAGACGCCCCGGCCGATACCGCAGTGCCACGGGCAGCACTGTTCCCTGCAAGACAGAGCAGAAGCGGCTTCTGCCCCGACGCGGGTGCCAGCACCAGGCGTGCCAGCCGGCTGGCTGCGGGGGGAGGGCGGGGGCGGTCACTGACTCCCAGAGTCTCCTTCTGTAGAATGATGCAGTCATCTCCGGGGTCCCTCCAGCTGTGAAAGGAGATCGGCCCGGTGGACGGTTGGCACCTGTCCCTTCTCCTCCGTGTGACCAGGAAGCATTTCTTGGAACACTATTATTATGTGAAGTGCCAACGGGGAGCACACAGTACAAGTCGGTCTCTGCCGCCAGGTCGCCTACAGTTAGGTGGCGAGAAAAACAAGGCTCCATCTGGAGCATCAGCAAGGGACTCTCCAGTATCACTGCTGAGGGTTTCCTAAACGTGAGCGCCCTGGAAACCAGGGTGGAGGGCCCTCCAGGGGGAGCTCCTCACACTGGGAATATTTGTCGTTTATCCGAAGGCCAAGGAGTCCTATTTCTGTTCTGTTTGGGGGGCTTTTGTTTTTCTAATGAGGGCAACCTTACGTGGGGGGAACAACCTACAAGGAGACACTGAGAATCGGCGTGCCATGCCACCGTATGTTACCACAGTTGTACGAAAGGCTCTCAGGAGGGTCTGAGGAGCCGAGGACAGTCAAGGAAGAAAGGAGGTATTTTTTTAAAAAAATCGTTTGCCCTATTCGGTCCTCCCCAAGGTCTCAAGAACAAACCGCTACAAGGGAAATCAGTGAGCTGTGTTTGGCCCAGCTCATGGAGGCAAAGTCCCTCTACCTTCTTCAAGGTACATTCTTGGCATCCAAATTTCTCTGGATTAATAGGCTTTAAAACAGTGCAGCTTGGGGCGCCTGGGGGGCTCAGTCGGTTAAGTGACTGCCTTCAGCTCAGGTCATGATCCCAGGGTCCTGGGATCGAGTCCCACATGGGGCTTCCGGCTCGGCGGGGAGCCAGCTTCTCCCTCTGACCCTATCCTCTCTCATGCTGTTTCTCTCTCTCTCAAATAAATAAATAAATAAAATCTTTAAAAACAACAACAACAGTGCAGCTAGAAGTATCACTCCCAGGCCTGAGCTTCTGGCCACACTGTTCTCGTTGAAATAGTAGTACTCAGGGCGCCTGGGGGGCTCAGTCGGTTGAGTGTCTGCCTTCAGCTCAGGTCATGATCATCGGGGAGCCTGCTTCTCCCTCTTCTCTGCTCGTATGCTCTCTGTCTCTCAAATAGATAAAATATTTTTTAAAAAATAGTATTGAAGTAGTATTTTTTAAAATATTTTTTGAAGTGTTTTTTTAGATTGTTTTCTTCTTTTCTTTTTTCTTAATTTAAATTTTAGGTAGTTAACATAAAAGTGCAATACTGATTTCAGGAGAATTCATCACTTACATACAACACCCAGTGCTCACCACGACAAATGCCCTCCTTAATACCCATCACCCGTCTAGCCCGTCCCCCGCCCACTTCCCTCCAGCAACCCTCAGTTTGTTCTCTGTAGTTGAGAGTCTCTTACGGCTTGTTTCACTCTCTCCAAAGCTTGCTTTATTTATGAGAGAGAGAGGGAGTGCCCATGAGTGGGGGGGAGGGGTAGAATGATCAAATCCTCAAGCAGACCCCGAGCTGAGCAGGAAGTCCGACATGGGGCTCAATCCCACAACCCATGAGATCATGACCTTGAGCCAAAGCCAAGAGTCAGAGGCTCAATCGACCGAGCCACCCAGGAGCCCCATAGTAGTATTTTATTTAACATTTGCTAAGTACTCTCAGCAAGTTAAACATGCTCAGAACGGATCCATAATTAGCTCTTCTGCCCTCAAACAGATTCAAAAAGGCAAATAAGTTACTTAAGGAGACAAGAGTAATTTAACTTATTTATTTTCTATATCAGGATATTCTCCACTGCAGGTAAACAGGAATTTTAACTCCAGGTG